GAAGCTTTTATAGATAAATGGATGCAACCTGAGACCATACATATAAGTGAAATAAATCAACTCACATGTGAAAATACCATATTGTCTCCCTTGTGTGAGAAACTAGACCACTAAATAAGATACAAATTATTCAATAAATATTGTGAAAGGGCAAGAAACTGCTCAAAGTGGGGAAAACTCAAGGAAAAGGGAAAAAGAATGAAGGGAAAAGAAAAAAGGTTTACATTTGTATATGTACACTTAATATAACTAAAGATAATTGTACTGCTAATTCTATTAATTCTTTGAGCAATTTTAATTCATAGTACTAGATCAATTTTGATTGTCTATATCTGGTAAATTGCATAACTGGAGGATACTTATGCAATATAACAACCTTAGTTGTGTTCCTATCGCCTTGTTTTGAAAGCTCATATTGTTGCTGTGGGTTCTTTGCATTGTTATTTACCTATTGCTTTTGTTTTGTGGAGTTTTTTGTATTTCTTTTTTTTTTTTGCACTCTAATACAGAAAGATAGGTGTGCAGGTATAGGCTTATACATGCCTAGGACTTCTATTTAAAGAGTTTACAAGAATTGATTTTATTAAGTGTGATGGTATAAACAGCTACTTTGAAGAATACAAGACATTATGCCAGTCATTGTTGATTTCCTATCATCTAGTTTTAAAGCCCTGTAATGTTTTTTCTTTGTTTTGATTGGTTTTAGTCTGTTTTCTCTTACTGGATTTCAATATGTGTGAGGGTATGGACAGCTATTTTGAAGAGAACTAGAGACATGATGGTAGCCATTGTTGATTTCCTATTATCTGCTTTGGAAAGTGCATAATACTTTCAGTCTTTTGTTTTGATTTGGGTTTATATGATTGCAATTTGTTTTAACTTATTTGGGTGAAGGTATGGAGAACTATTTCAAAAAAACAAAAGGCATTATGATAGCCATAGCTGATTTCCTGATGACTTGTTATTACGTCCTGTGTTGCTTGCATTGTTCTGTTCTAATCTCCTTTGTTCTCATTTGTTTTTTTTTTCATTGCTTTAAAATAAAAAAAAAAAACACTTCATGAGGATGGACAGGGACAAAACCCATGGGTACCCATCACACTCATCCTGTATTAAAATTCCTTCCTCAGAACCACCACTGTTCCCAATGGGCCCAGAGACTCCTAAAAGTCGCACAGGACCTCGGACTCCTGACCTGTGCCTGGTCACTGTCACCCACTGAGTCCTCCAAACTGGAAACCCAGAGTTGGGTAATGACGGTGAGCTCTGTGTTCTCCTTTAAGTTCTTTCCTACCAAGCTCTAACTCTAACCTGGAATCATTCTAAACTCGGTGCTACTGGTTCCACTGATGGCTTCATCCAGTCTCATCCCATGGGAGTGTGGGGAAACACCTGTTGTTACCTGGGTTCTCATAAGGGCCAGAATATCTCCAGTGAGTGCATAGATGTTATGATTCTTACTTCAGGTTCCCTTGAGGACGCCTGTGGTACTTTTTTAAAAATTTTGACAATGTTCAGCACATGTTTAATAGTGCCAAAATGAGCCTGTGTGCACTTGCTTTTGTGGTATGCAATCTCTGTGTTTACTCAGGCCAGTGAGGTCCAGCACATGCACATCAGACACATCAAAAGCATGACCCCACAATATTGACCATTCTGCCTGGGATAGAAATAACAGGAAGTTTAAGCCTCAGTGCCACAGCCATAGCTATAGGCCAACAGCAATACTCACAGTAAGATGGCAGGAGATTTTGTCAACATGGAAACCTCAGCAGATACTCTACAAGACCAAATAGATCTGTTGGGTGCAGTTGGTCTCAAAAATCACAGCACTTTAGATCTTCTGACAGCCCAACATGGAGGCTCTTGCCTTTTCCTGGAGGAAGGATGCCCTTAATATGCCAAATCAGGGATAGTAAGAGAAAACACCTCTTCGGTATAGGAGTGACTCAAACAAAGGGCTCTAAATACCATGGAGGGCTGTTCTGGTGGGGAACACGGGACTTTCTCCTCTCATGGATGGGAGCTATGCACGGACTTCTAATGGCCCCCTCAACAGTCCTCCTTTTAGACACTTACGTGATCCACATCCTGAGTCCCTTTCTGACTGCATGCTTTGAAGCCATGCACCACCCATTCCTTTTACAAGTGAAGTCCCCTTAACAGATCCTTAGTATTGAGGAATCTGAGGAAGAGGAATCTTTCCCCATAAAAATAATCAGGAGTATGTAATAGAAAGACAGCAACAATTTAAAAATCAAATTGTAACCTGCTGTTACATTGAGAAAGAATATGCTCATCCTGCCTGTCATAGAGCTAGACGGCTCAACACTGTCAGTCTTTGGCTGTTTGTAGCCAGCTCCTTCTCACTGATAGCCTGCCACGTGAACCTGACTGCAATGTTTGTTTCCTCACCTAAAAATATATCCTGTTTTCACAACGTGCTATAAGGGCTTTACTATCTTGGAAAGACTGGCCCAGTCAAGGACACCTCCAACTTTCTCTACACCGCTCAACATCTCCTCCTAAAATTTTTCTGCCTTATGATAAACAATTCTTTTTAAGTAGTCTTCGTAAAACAAATCTGTCTGACCGCATATGACATGATTCATGTAACCAATTATATAATAACCTGATTCCACCTTTTGTACTTCTTGTTTGCAAATCCTATATAAAATATAGCAAAGCTGACTCAGGGCCAGTGATGTGGAACTTGATATTCCAACAGACCAGCAGTGAAAAAACAGTTTGCCTTGCAACTCCTTGGTACACAGTTTTTGCACCAATACCATAACAACTTATTATACCTTAATCTGGAAAAAAACTGAAATGCACATCAACCGAGGAATGAGCAAAAGTTTTTTTTTATGCAATGGATAATACCCATTTTTGAAGAAGGATAGCTTTGAGGCTTTTCTACTCATGTGAATAAAGCTAGATGTCACATTCATAGGTGAAATGAATCAGACTTGAATGTATAAACATTGTGTTGTCTCAGTAGTGTGTGAAACTAAAAGCCAAAATAAGACCCAAAGTATACAACAGATATTTTGAAAGTGAAATTCTCAAAAGAAGAGAAATATATATGTGTGTGTGTGTATATATATATATATATATATATATATATATATATATAAAGAGACGAGTATGTATTTTAGAAGTATATATTTTTAGAAAAAGTGTGTGTGTGTATGTACATTATATATATTTAGGTAAAGTATATATACATTTATATAACTGTACTACCAATTTTTATTGTTTTTGTGAAAAGCACTGTTTGTGCTTGCATTGTTTGGAAACTTTGCATAGCTATATCTTGGAATCTTAGCAATTTCTTTAAAGATAAGACAATATAGCATGTTTACAATTACTAATTTGCTGTTACCATTTTTGAAATTCCATACTTTGTTTTTTTTTTTCCTAAAGGAAGAAAAGCTGCCAATACAAATAAACTAACAAGCTAACTTATCTTAAGATGCTGTATTTAGTAAAGATCGCAGATAATATATTTTGGATACATATCTTATTTTTGATTGTACTTAGTTTAATTCAGTATACAATTAAGACATGTCTTCAAATCAAAACAGGATTTTACAATGAATGTCTTAAAATTATTATATTGAAAGCAACATAACCACACAAACTCCAGGAGATGAATAATAGTTACAATGACAGATTTCTTGTCAGTCACCATAATATCACATACATAATATTTACTGTTATGATTGGACACTTGTAATATCAACATCATTTATTAAAAAGCTATACCACCAAAGCTTTCAAAAGAGCTAGAGAAGTATCTGCCCTTTATTAATGGTTTTGTGGCGCTAGAAAAGATACCTAGGGTCTTGTACACGATAACCAAATTCTGCACCACTGAACCACATCCCCAGCTCTCCTAGGTCAATTCTTTGCTCAGAAAAAATTCACTCAGATTCAGAGCTGTTGTTCTGATGACAGTGTTTCAAATAGTCTCAGATAACCCACAGACAGGGAGCCACCGCTCCTATATGATGTTCCCAGTTGCAGAGTGAAAAGGAACCTTCTGGCCTTTTCATTATATTGCACATTCAGTCACTTTAGAACGCAAATAAACACTGGAGATGTAAAGAAAACCAGACACAGAAGTGCATTCAGAAAGTTAGAAATGTACAGTGCTGCCTGCATCCCTAAACTCACCATGCATTGCTGTGAACGTAAGAGCACCACTTGGCAAACATTGGCTTTCTCACAGTTGTGAGGGACATACCTCATACTATTTCAAAGATTCGGGCAGCCAGTCAGGCGCTACAGAATGTCAGCATTGGAGAGAGATATGTGAGGCTTCCTTCAAGTCTTTCCAAATGTTTTTCAGAGTTGACCCCTTGTTCACCTCTTATCTCCCTCCTTTTTACTTTTCCTTATTTTCTGTGCTCCTACTCAGTGCAGAGGACAAGACCTGCTGTACACCTCAGTCAGGGTGGTGCTGAGAACAAAGCAAACTACTGGAGGGGGAGGCACTTGGGAGGACTGGGGCCCCTGAGTATTTGTGTAGAAGACAGTGGGCAGTGCTTCGCTCAGCTTTGCTTCACTTCACTGTCGTCCATGTGTATTGGTGACAGACAGACACTACCCTTTCAGGAGCCATAGGCACCTGAAGCTCTGCCCTGAAAATCAGGAATTAAAGACACCTCAGGAAGTCCCCTGGGGGGACCTGTTGCCTGTGCTCTGTGGAGCCCTAGGTGCCCTCTGCACAATGGCCTGAGCCACCCAACCAAAGGCACAGCTTTCTGGCCCACAGGGTCTCTCACGGGCCCGTGGGTGGCATCAAATTTTCAGTGGGACTCCACCATTGCCCAGCGCCTAAACGTGAAGGCCCATCTGCGCAGGCACTGTGCGCATCACGCGCTGCATTGTGAGTAGAACATTAAGGCGCCTGGCATTCTGCTCTTTCTGTTAACCAAACTGCGCGGCTGCGGTAGCACTCCGTGCTGGTTAGGAGCCCCGGAGCCTGGTGAAAAATGCAGGCTCCAGAAAACGCCCAGCGAAGTGAGGAGAGAGAAGAGGGCGACATAAGTACACCAGGGGGTCCTGGAGGGCCTGACCCTACTGGTGGTGGTGAAGGGGCACTAGTGGATGGCGCTGTAGCTAGGGAGCTCCCCGAAGACCAGGGTGTGGGGCAGGGGCCTATGCCCAGAGGAGAAGCATCTGCTCCCTCTGGAGACTCCACAGGAGAACCACAGGAGTTGTATCCTTCCTGAGTGTCGAGCGGGAGTTTGTCTGGGACTGGCGGGATCGCAGTGGGGATAAAGAGGTGCCCACTGGGACAAGAGTGAAGATGGGGACCCCGGAGGCTAGGCGAGGCAGACTGGGGTGGGGCCGAGCTTCCAGGAGGGGCAGGGCCCAATGAGACACTGTAGTGTGCCGTGGGGGCCCGAGGGAGAAGGCAGCCTGTGTGGCAGTTGCCTTAACCACGCGTCCACCAGCCGCCTCTCAGTGCCTTTCCGTAGCGCCATGGATGCAGAATTTGTTTGCCTACACCTTTCCTTGGTAGCTGACCCTCCTACAAGGGGAGTTCACAGAGAGATCACAGTGAGTGGCAAAGACCTGAAAATGTGAGTCATGGGTAGCTGTGGGCTGTGTGGGGGGCAGCGGGTGTGGAGGGTGCGCCCAGTGGACCAACACAGACCCCAACTGCAGTCTATGGAGAGGCCATGTTGTGTGGAGCCTGCTGGCGCCTGACTGGCTTGGGGAGTGGTGGGCTCTAAACTATATGCTGAACATTGGGTGGATGGGCAGGGGGACCTGATCATGGGTGCTATGAATCTGTTTTCCCATTCTTTTAGCCTGATAACTTCAGAAGACGCCCACCTTCTCGAGAATTCTATCAACTACATTTTGGATCTGCTTTCGCCCATGCTTCCCTTAATGGATAGCATTGAGCAATAATTTCTGAACAAGCCTCAGCTGCAAAACAGGATTCAGTTTTCCTCATCTATCATCCAGCCCTAAGCAGTGACAGCCTAGTACAGTGATTCCTCAGGTGCCCTGCCAATTAGTTGGGGAAATCCCTGTTTTTTCTCTAGACCACCATCCCTGGCATAAATGCTTGTTCTACTGAAAATAAAATGAATTTCTATTGTGTCTCAGTTTATTTTTATCAATGGCTCTTCCAGTTTTTCATCCATTTGTCCATGGGGGAGGAAAGTTTCTGGAGTTTTAGTAGACAAAGTTATTGTAGATACCTTAGGGAAAGTAAGAACATGCAAAACATTAAGTCTTGGCTTTCAGCATTAACTATCCTCACTCAGCATTTTGAAATACATTTGCACTGTGTTGTCAGAACTGAGAATTGAAATCAAGTATAAAATTAACAGCAACTGCATAAATGCAATTTTTATTTACAAGTCTAATATCTGATTTGTCTCTTCAGCTTCTTCGTGTGCAGCAGATCGGTCTCTTTGTAAAAATATTCCAAAACTTGTTTTCAGTGGAGGCAAAAAGATACATTACAGTGTAATTATAAAATATCTAAACTTCACAATACCCCACCTCCTGTTTAGATAAGGATTCATAGAGATTCCTGTATATCATTCCCTTCAACATTGGTGGTTTGATTTGTAGTGACTGCAGGTCACAGAAGTATTAATCTACTAATGATTCCATTCTGTGAGGGAGTTCATACATGCACATCACACATCTTTTATCACTGGAGATACTTTAGCCACCTAGAGGAAGGAGACCCCCCACTGTTAAGTTTCTACTCCCCCAACCCTAACTGCAAAGGAAGGTGGACAATATTTTCTTTTTATCTTTCTTTCTTTTTTTTTTTTGTCTTTTTCATTTTTATCGGTACCGGGGATTGAACTCATGCCCGCCTGTTTGCAAGGCAGGTGCTTATGCCACTGAGCTAAATGCCCAGCCCTAAGGGGACAATATTTTCTGTGCTGCCTACATTTAAAGTGATGACCCTGACAAAGACCTTCCTTGGTCTTAAGGGTGTCAAGAGGCCTTTTCCCTTCTTTTAGCATTCAGAAAGGTTTAAATTCCTTTCAGAGTCAGAGGAAAAACTTACAAGTTCTCTTAGGTAAGTGCTTTAATAACAGAAGATGTCTCTTTAAAAGGCAAAATGAACTCCTTAGTGTTAATTTTCATAAGACCTTAAAGCAGCTAGGCAAAATATACTGGAAGCATTTCCTGCAAACATGCAGAGCTCACACTATGTCTAAGTTGCACAGTTTTACTACATTTTCTTCATGGGCAATCATGTGTAAATAAAGGCCAGAGTTTTCCTCTCTTTTCCTACCTGGATGGCTTTATTCAAGATTCCTTTCCTCGGCAGATTTGTGCTTCCTTGCTGCTGTGTGTCTCTGGTAGGTCCTGAGGTCTCCTTAGACTCTTATCCTTGACAGCTGGAACATCCCATACTGTTAGTGATCCATGAGCTGTGCTCCATAATGTAATTTGGTAAGTTGGTAAAGATTTGATATTTTGGCGTCTTGCTTTTTGATGAACTGCAGGGATTCTAAAAAGGGCAGAGAAATGTTTCCACAGATCACAGGCAAGATCTTCTGAGGGCCCTGCCAGTGCCAGCTGAAGGAAGAGGTTTTCTGTCCTCTTCATCTCCCTGGGTGGGGTGCATCACTGATCTCTTTTGTCCTGGGGAACAGGGCTAGTTTAGTCTTCATCCATTTGATGAGGAGATGTTTTCCCTGCATCTATCATACTTTCTTCATGATCTTTTTCTCCTCTGTGGTCTTCTGAATCCTCACATGATCCCCACCCAGGATGGCATGTTTTCTTCTTCTGCAGTTCTCTCTTCTCTGGCCTTCTGAAAGGTCAAAGGTCAAAGGTCAGCTACCTAAACTCTGAATCATCTTCATGTCCTAAACTCTGGGGATTTTCTGTTCTAACAATCTGTCTGTCTATCTGTTTATCTATCTATCTATCTATCTGTCTATCTATTTTTCATCAACTTTCTCTATGTTCTGTCCTCTTTTCTTTTCCATGATTTTGAAATTATTATTTCATAGGCACTATATTTTGATGAATAGATGTATATTTCACCTTCCATCACTGTAAACCCTGCTCTGCCTCCTAATTCACAAAGGGTGTTCTTAGCAGATTGTTTCCATAGCTGTTGGGTGACCTGATTTCCTCCTTAGAGAATGTGAAAACATGTATCCTTTTCCCCACTGGCTCAGTTTCTCTCCCCTCAGAAAGACATTATTTTAACCCATCTTTCATGTCCTCTGTTGGCATGGTTCTTCTAGTCTACTGGACTACATAGATGAAATTCTGAGACTCCATGGTGTTTTGAGCTGGAATCCCAATCATGCTTTACACAAATGTGTTTTACAATGTTGCTGCAGTGTTTATTGTTATTTGGGTGTGTTTTCAAGCAGGTTTATTGCAGTACATTTAACATACTGGCAATACGACCCTATGTCATTCTTAAGTATTTTAGCAGGGGCTTATGTGTGGGCGTAAAAAAATCATGAGACCTCTTTCATTTATTAAAATTAAAATATTGAAAACCCTTAGAAAGTCACAGTACTGAAAAAATATGGAAATTCTGGATCTACAAGCTACTGGAATCAAAAAGACAAGCGTTATGGCTTTCTTGTGAGTATACTTGAAACTTCAATGTTAGTGTGAATCAGGACACCAACCAATGTTTTACTCTGTCTGTCCTACAGGGAGCCAATAAACTTCAAATCCAGCTAGCATGCAACTTTGTTTACATGATTTCCAAGCTGTCGTCTGCGGACAATGAAATCTCACTTATTCCAAAGCAGAGTAATTGTCTCTGATGACTATAGTCACAGGTCGTTCCAGTTACCTCAGGGGCACCCTTCTTTGTGCTTTCCCATTTCCTTAAAGGAAACACCAGCTTGGAGAGTGCTAACAATGCCTGGCTTTGTCCTGGCTTTGCGAAGCAAAAGCAGTGAAGTAATCTCCCATTCAGTGATTATTTTTAGTTTTTCATGGTGCTGGTCCCCAACTCCAGAAGGTCAGTGCGTGCAAGTATTCAACAAAAAACACTTGGGAGAGCCTGGGAACTTTTCATGGCTTTCAACGTTGGTCACAGGGGCATTGCATGTTGTGACAACGCTCAGGCGCGAGTCACAGGAGGGTAGATTCCAGGAAGGTTAGCAAGATGACTTTGCAACCAGGATTTCCAGGATGCAGTCTCTTCATTTCACAGGGCTAGACATATTTGGTCTTGGGAATCAGGCCTGGCCCTGATTTGTCCGTAGCCCAACAACCCAGCTGGTCCTTTTGAGATGAAAAGCACATAAGTCTCTCCACCCTCCATAGTGGATGAGTCTTACCTTGTGGCTCCTCACTGAGAGCAAGTGTCATAGCAAAGATGCTTACTAAGAAAAGAAAGGAGCAAAAGTGGCTTTCAAGGGTCACTGTTAACAAAGAGGGCAGAAATCACAAAGGGCATCAGGGATATATGCAGGATAGAAGGAGCCACCGCATGAGCGTGAAAGCTCTGCCAAAGCCAAGGGAATTGGAGGTGATTTGAGGTTGCTACAGAAGACTACTCCCAGGAAGATGGTGAAAGGGTTCCCAGATCTTATTATTACTGAAACATTGGGATCTTTGTTTTCTAACCCATGTGATGGGATAGATATCTGGGAGCACACAGGGATTTGAAGCACAAAATTGCCTGTACACTTGCAAGATACAGGTGTGAGACCACCCACATTGTTGTGACATCAGCAGAGCTGTGCTCACTGGGTCTTAGCTTCTGCAGCTCTGACTCCTCTGTGTCTCCCTCTTACTGCCAACTGAGGAGCACACTTTGCACATTGGGGCTGGTCACTCTTCAGTCCATTATGTACTGTCAAGAGATCCAGGTACCAAGTGACACCCAGTGAATCTTGAGCTAGACCTTCCTGATCTTTCTTCTAGCTCTTTTTTAACTTGCAAATCCTCTGTGTGTTTCCACACAAATGACATTCACCTTTCACAAACCCAGAATTCTTACAGTAGGAATTTTCTGGCTTTTTTTCTTCCCATTTCCTTGAAATTGAAATTGAAAAAAATCCCTTTTTCAATATTTTGTATTTTATGAAAAAGTTAGAACAAAGTTCCAAAACAAATCAATGGGAGAATAAGAATAGATAATATATTACATATTGTTTTCTTTAAAGTAGTTACTGCACAAGATATGGGCATTTAAATTTCTACAAACTATATTAGCACAAACTTCTTTTCTTTTCCTTTTCTTTTCTTTCCTTTCCTTTCCTTTCCTTTCTTTTCTTTTCTTTTCTTTTCTTTTCTTTCCTTTTCTTTTCTTTTCTTTTCGTTACCTGGCATCAAGCAACCTTGCTCATGCTGGGTGTGTGCTTAAGCCACTGAGCTGAATACACTGACCTCAAAACATTCTCTTCAGTGCACTGAGAGGAAGTTCTTTTAGAACTCTCTTGTATTATTTTCCCTTTTCTTTCCTCCATTCCACATTTCCCACACCCTAATTTCTCTCTTTTATTTTTTTTACGGTTTCTTCTCATTTCACAGTATGTATTAAACACATGAAGTTGGATTTATTTCACTTTTGAGTATGGTCTGAAGTTTCTTCCTATAAATGTCTCAAGTGTATTCTGTTTATTGGCTGAATAGTTCTCCATTTTATAAAAGTGTCCCATTTTCTTTACCCATTCTTCAAGTGATGGGCATTTAAGTTGTTTCCAAGATTTAGCTACTAAACACTGTGCTGCTATAAACATGGGTGCACACATGTCTCTGTGGTATGGTGGTTTTATTTCTTTTAGTAAGATACCTAGAAGAGGAATAGCTGGGCTGAATAGGACCTCTAATCCTCCTTGCCTTCTGAGCAAACATCTTACTGATTTCCACAGTGGTTGCACCAGTCTGCTCTCCCACCAACAGGTTGGTTGATTGCTTGGTGGTAACCGTTCTTTTTGGTGTGAGATGAAATTTCAGCGCTTTTTTGCACCTGTCAAATGACCAATGATGTTGAAAATTTTTTGACGTATTAGCTATTTGTGTATCTTTACCTAAGAAGCACAGTTTTACATTGTCTCTTAGAATTTTGGAAGTCAGGGTTTTGCAATTCTT